ATCATGTTTGTTTAATAATACTACTACTAATAGTAATAATAATAATAACAATGATGATGATGACGATAGTAATAATTGATAATAATAATAATAGCAATAAAAAGTGAAGAAAATTGTGCTAAATGAGAAAAAAAAGTTGTGATTTTTGATCATACTATAGTATATATAGTTAAAGCTTAGTAAGCTATTTAGGCCTAAGTTACCCTGGATATTAAGTAGATCCCTGATAAAAGGTCATGAGAAATTTGTTGGCGTTTCATTTTGACTATAATGGTAATGTGATGATGATGAATTTTACTATGTAAAAGTGTCATTTCCGGCCATCTCGAGAGGTACCATTTCCTCAAATTTTCTCACCTCAGCCCCAGCCATGGTGACGCTGAGGTGGTTGTGAAATAACGTTTTTGAAGTATGCTTATGTAAAGTACATACTCAAAGACAATGTTTTTAAGCTTTGTTTTCTATGGTATATAGCCTACACACACACACACACTTTAATAAGATCTCTATGGTTGTCAAAAAATCCCTGATAAAAGATCATGAGAATTTTTTTTGGCACTTCATTTTGACTAATAGTGATGTGATGATGATGAATTTTACTAAAAGTGTCATTCTGGCCATCTAGAGGTACTATTTCCTCAAATTTTCTCACCTCAGCTCCAACCATTGTGGGGCTGAGGTGGGTGTCGTCTCAAATGCCCTCCCCCTCTACCTTTCAAAACAGGTCTGTGTCCTTCCCTGGGTATGACATTGAACTCCATCGAATCGGCTCCTGATGTATGTCTTAGTGACTGCTGTTTGTGTTTAGGATGTGATCTGGTTTTTCATGTCCATTTTTCGTGATTATGACTATTCTGGCAGTGGATAAAGAATGTTTTGAGCAGAGGTGGATTTAAGGCCCCCCCCCCTTTTCATTTTTTAAGGGAAAATAAAGAAAAATATATTCAAATTGAAGTGCGAGAGTGTAATTTCCGGCCATCTAGAGATGCCCTAGTAATAAATTTTCTTACCTCAGCCCCAACCCTGGTGGGGCTGAGGTGGGTGGTTCCTCGGTTTGCGAAAGTCCCTCCCTGATTCACCTCTCTTTCGAATTCCTTTATCTATCACTGTTGATTTATTATATAATTATTTTTGCGCTTATTTATAATGCGTCTATTGCAATTTTCAATTTATCCTCTCAAACAGTCCTAAGAACGTTCAGAGTGCGCTACTTCACAGGGGGATTCGCCTCCTTGACCCCGCCGGGGTCCTACGTAATTTGCATAACGGCTCCCCCCCCCCCTTTCAAAATCCTGGCTACGTCCCTGAACAATGTAGGACAGTACTACATGCAAGCCACATATTTAAGGAAATGAAGAAGGAAATTCACACATTGAAGTCGTGTCTTTGTAGGTCGGCTGTATTCTGAAAGTGAAAGTGTGATATTTTATACGTACCGAACAATATTTGGTATTTTGCAAAGAGGCTAAGTTACGGCAGCTTTCTGGAATGAAGTAGGCCTATACGATTTAAATATGTTGCGATTGTGGATCATAGCTGTTATGAGTGCAAGTACTTGTCTGCTGTTTCACCCAATCCACACACTCAGCAAGAAATGTTTTCCGATTAATCCTTACAGAATTATCGGTAGCATGTACCCGAACGAAACACGTTGTCCAATGGAATGTTTGTGTGAGTATTGCCCTTACCGCTTTGGACCTAACTTCCACAATTTGCGCTATCAACATCAGGCAGATTGTCGATCAAAGAAGATATCGAAAATTCCTTTCACTAATTTGGCTGTAGATCTGACACTTTTGTGGCTGGATAAAAACAACATTCAACAGATTAAAAACGATACTTTTTATCACTTGAGGAACTTACTAGACCTGAGCTTAGCATATAACAATTTGCTATCAAAAACCGTGTACCCAAGGGCTTTTAGAGGACTATTTAAGCTAAGATTATTCTACCTGCAGTACAACACCGGATTAAACGTGTTAAGAAAAGAATGGTTTACAGATATGTTATCTTTGAAAACACTGTACGTTCAATATTCTTCTGTGGTAACAGTTGAACCAGGCGTATTTGATGCCTGCAGTCAGTTGAGTAGTGTTAGTCTCTATGGAAACAAAATTAAAACCGTTTCAGTTGTTTTTCGAAGTCGTCCCAATCTAAAGTGGCTTTCTCTACATGATAATATCATCGAGTCGCTCCATGATGACGCGTTCCTAGGCTCAAACAACTTAACAGTTATAAGTTTACATAACAATCATATTGCAACCGTGAGCGAATCATTGGGCTTGCAGAATCTACCTCAATTATCAAAGGTTCTTTTGTCAAGTAATCATTTAAGTTGTGATTGCCAATTGCTCTGGTTTCGTAGATGGCTGAATATGACGTCGGTAGAATTTACAGACATTGATCAAACCAACTGCAGCAAACCAAGCCAGTTGGCTGGGACTAACATTCTGAAGTTTAACTCATCCTCGATAAGTTGCACAAATAGAACATTGATGATAACTCTTTGTACATGCGTTTCTTTTGCTGTTATTGTATTTTTTGGAATGCTAGTGTACATCTTTAGGTGGGATATCAGGTAAGATTAGGTTTACTGTCAATACAATACTTCTAAAACTCAATACTTCAAACTCGCCGTTACTGGTCTTAGTAACAACCCCGCTTATGTAATAGTAATGAATAATCGGTGTGTATTGTAGAGTACACATTACTAACTTTTTGTAGGTTCTTGTTATGTCGATGTACAAAGCTATACTATTATCATCAAACTATAATGCTCGTAACTAAAACTTTGTGCACTAAATTTATGAAATCACAATATTTTTGTTTTTGATTTCCATTTATAAACCTAAATCGGCTTTATTTGTTATACACATATCAGGGACCCATATATCTTACAGTTTAGAATACGGTTTTTTTTTTTTAAATCGATATTTGAGCTTTGTTAAACTACTTCCCGTTGATAATGATGATGACGAACATCATTGGCGGATCAAGGAATACGAAAACGAGGGGGCTGCTTTGGGAGGGAATTGTAGAGAGGGTGGATCTTAACCGAGTTAATCAAGACCACTTAGGTAGATTCACTATCGTTGGGGCTCAGGTATGAAATGTTATGTCTACAACACCGTTAGATTACCGATAATGGAACTTCCGGATTTAAATTTGTATGTAATTTTATATATTTTATTATTATTATTATTATTATTATTATTATTATTATTATTATTATTATTTGTTTAATATTTTCCATTGGTCAGCTTGTCAATGCTTGCTTATAGTTGTCAAAAGCTGCTCAATTATCTGTTCACTTCACTAACTTCGCGGGATAACGTTTTAAACTTCTAATTGTTAAATTATGTCATTTGGAATGTCTTTTTAGTGACTTAGATTGTTTAGATGAAAAAAAAAGCATTATAAGATAACTATTTAAAAGTTTTAGTTAGTAGTCAGTCAAAGTTACAGAGATCACCATTAAAACGACACGGTCAAGCAGGCCTGGAGTATCTAAATCTAAACACATGTCTAAGTAAACAAATCTGTAAACAAAAAATAATGCTTTTCAGACATCTTTACGTGCCATGTTTAAAAAATTTGCTAACCCCATCCTTAACAATGAATTGGGCCATGGACAGACCATCCACAAACACATAACAGTTTGATAAGGATAAAGGAAATAGGTTCCGGACCTGAGATTTCCGAAATCAGATACAGACTAGGAAGTGAAGTGTCTAACCAAAAAAACATATGAGGCATGTTTTGCCAAAATGGCTGAGTTGTAGCAAAAATTGAAATTCAAGTTATTGGTATTCTCAAATACCTGAGTATGTGATCCTTAAAATGAGGGGTCATTCGTTCAAATTGGACATTTCAAACCTAAGTTATTGGAAAGTGAAAGTACAGTACTCTTAGAGTCAAGATAAACAGGATTTTAAGTAATTGCCTTTCAAAGTTATTTGTGCATACATTGGTTATAGCCTGGGTGCAGTAGGAAATTAGCGGGAAAAAAGTAAAGGAAAATTTATTTTTGGTTTTTCTGAATCAGTATATCATATAGTGTCTCAGAAAAAAAAAATCCCCATTCTTAGAGCTTGGGCAATTTTTTTTATAGCACTTTAAAATTTTGACATAAAATATCCTATTTTGGGCTAATTAAGATGTGGGTAGGGGAAATAAATGTATGTCTTTAGTCACTTTTACATATGCTATGTATATAAAATGTAACAAGAACTTGGCTAAATAGTTACTCCTCACTCTCGTTAAAAATTTAATCGGAATAATGACGACATCACAAAGAATTCCAAGATGGCTGGCATTTTGGCGGTAAAACTCTTTTAAAATGTAAGTTTAACTTTATTGTTATCAGAGCAATTTCAAAACAATATATATCCACACACACACACACACACACACAAATAT